GGGAGGGGGACAGTGCGCGTCACTGACTGTTCTCTCTCTTCCCCCCCCTCCCCCGCACAGTGACTCGGGCCAGTGTAGAGGGCCCCAGGCCGCAGGCAGGAGCAGCTGGGCCAATTCCCTGGCTGCGAGCGGAAGGGGATGGCGTCGGGCCTGGGCTCCCCGTCCCCCTGCTCGGCTGGCAGCGAGGAGGAGGATATGGATGCACTTTTGAACAACAGCCTGCCCCCACCCCACCCAGGTAACATCTTCCCCAGGGGCTCAGTGCAGGAAGGAGGCGTTTTGGCTCTCACGAGTGACTCTGGTGAAGCAGGGCTGAGTTTCTTTCTCTCTGTGCAGAGTCTAAAGTGGAGGGCATCCGAAGGGAGTGGATCCTCTCTGCAGAGCTCTTGTGGGAGGGGGGGTGGAAGCCGTGTGCCTTCTGGGCTCCAAGGACCCAAATGCAAGCTTGCTGCACTGTCTTAAGGAATGCTATGCAGTTTCCAGTTGAGGGAGCTCTTTGGGCTGGCAGGCCTTACCTTGTGTGGGTCTTTGGAGGAATGCAGGTAGCTGGGACCCCTGGAGGCTGTGTGGTGGTGGTGGTGGGGCGTTGAGAATTGCTGTTTTAGAGATCTGCCTGGCATCTGTGTTAGTTAGGATCCTGTGGTTGCTGCTATGGAAAGGAAAGAGGGAGTGCTGGTTACTCTCTATCTGATTATTTTTAGCTTCTGATCAGTTACCGGTTTTCTGTGCTGTTTCAACTGTGTGAAGTTTGAATTGCGCTCCTTAGCTGGGATCTAGAGCGCTTTTAGCCAGGCAGGTTGCTGGAATGTTTTGAAGAAGGGAAATGATGGGTGTTAGGAGTAGGATGTAATAGCCTGAACTATATACTAGGAGGGGTAAAACAAGGGAGGTGACACCCTGGGCACCTTTCTTCCTTGGCAAGTGGACATAATCCTCACTTTTTTTTTTTTTTTTTTTTTTTTAAGAAGCTTCTCTTCCGCTGTGCAGGTAGCCTGGGTTTTGGGCTGGTGGTATAAAGTGTTTGTGTAGGTGTTGTTGGGGGTTGTGCTATCTGTTTTTTGGGGAGGCTACTTGAACTGGCCAAACCCGTATGGTTATAACCACCCTGTCTGATTGGACTAGCCCTTGTTTACCCCCAAATGATAATTGAGGTCATGCCTCTAAGTAGATGTCTCTCTCATCTATCTCTCCTTCAGAGACCCCAGCTAAGTTACCTACTTGTTTCCTTGATGTTTTTTTCCTAGCTTCATTTTTTCCTACATGCCATTTCTTAATCCTCTTTACTTTATATTTGTCTTTTTATCCTGGAGCCTGCTGGTCCTGTTTTTGTTTCCCATGGAACATCTTTTACTTCTTCTGTCTCCTGAGCTCTAGTGGCAAGTCGAGGTGGTCTGGGGGAGAGATGTTTCCACATTTGGCATTTTCTAAGTTGGAAGTCTTCACTTCAACCTGAGGTCACTTAGGAGAGGGTTCAGTCTTTTTACTGACTCGTCAGCTGTTGGGAAAAGAAACTTAAGCTTGAGTCCCCTCACTGTGCAGGGCAGGGTAGCAGGTTTCTATACTGTTGCCCAGGGTGGTTGTGGGGAGGTGGTGATCCTATCCTTTCTGAGGGGCATGAGAAGTAATAGTGCCATCCAGCCAGTGTTGGTTGCACATCTTGGCTTCCCACTGGCCCCTTGGTCTGGGGCTGCCCCTGTGTGGATTAGGAGCTGTGTGTGCTCCCCAGGTGAACTCTGCCCCAAGCTGTAGTATGACCCAGTTTTTCCACTTGCCACACCCCATTCCTGCCCCTTTCCCAAATCCTCTACCATATCTTAGCCAGTTTGCTGCTTACCTGAGAAGTTTGGGGGGCTTAAGTGGTTGGGAGGGTGTCTCCTCTGTCTTGATGGGTTTGTCCTTGTCTCCACTTCCAGCATTTATGGAGGTGGTGAAGAGGAAGAACCCAGAGATGTAACTGACTGAGGAGGGGGGAGCAACATGAGATTGTTGGGGAGAAGCCCTTAAAGAAAATGATTCTTTCTGGTGAGATCCAGGCTGGTGTTCCATTCCCAAGGGAATGGGAGGGGCTTTCTTGTGCCTGGCCTGATCCTGGGCTGAGTGGGGGGGAGGCCGATGGTGCTTTGTCTAGCCTAATGTCTCATGTTCCCTAGTATCTGCTTTGCTCAGGAAGGGCGGAGCCAGAGGCATTTTGGGGCTAGTTCTGGGGGTCAGGAGCTAAGAGCATGGGTAGGATTCAAGGAAGCATATTGTTCTCCACCACTTCTTTTTCTTGGTGTGGACATGACTCCCTAATGTCAGATAGGTGGCAAGAGATGGTTTAGGGTCTTCGGCCCGGACTCTGGGTGGGGATGATGAGGAAACTGAGTTTCGGAGACTTCTTGTGGACTCCCATTTCTCAAGGTAAAACAGTTAAGTATCAGAAATGTGAGGAGAAGGTTGTATGCTCTGACCACGGCTCCACTGAGCCTTTGTTAAATCTTAGCTCTGATGAATGAAAAAATAATTATGATTGAGGGAGTAACCCAGTCCCTCTCATAGTATTACCTTCATGTTTGTCTTGGGTTTCCTTGTCTTGGATGCTAGGGTGGCCTCTTGAGAACTGTGGCATCCCAGAGGAGGTGTTAGGAGAGGTGGCATTTGGACCTGGGGTCAGGTAATAATTTGGGAAGTCTTCTGTGAGGGTAGTCTTGCCCCGGCTACCTCTCTCAGCCTCCCCCCCCCCCCCTCCCCTGCCACTTCCTGTCTGTCCTATGTTGGCAGCTGGGTGCCCTGGGCTGGCTTCTGCGGTCAGGAGCCATTTTCCCTCTCCTCAGTGGGTGAGGCACTCCCTCCCTCCTTCTCTCCACTCCCTTCTCTACTCCCCCCCTCTTTGGGCGGGGGTGGCTTGGGAAGAAGGAAAGAGAGGAGGGAGGCGGGAGCTGGTGAGCTGGTGTGAATGTCTCTTACAAAGGAAGCTGCCTCCTGGCCTTCTCCTCCCCCTCTGTGCCCCTTCCCACCTATCCCTGCCCTAGAGCTCTCAGTATTACCCCAGGCTTTGTGTGTGCTCCCAGGCAGTGGAGGAGGTGGAGCCAGATGGGAGGAGGATGGGGGGTGGGGGGGTGGAGGAGATGGTGACAGCTGGGCTGATTTGGGCCCCTGGGGAGAAGAGGCTACTGACCCAGGAGAAGCTGGGGAGGAACAGTAGAGCTGGAGATGGGAAAAGAAATTATGTTTGGGAGTGGGTGTGAGATTGGGTTGGCAACTAAACCTGGGGCTTGGAGGTTCTGGTTGTTTTGAGCTGGGATGACCCAAAGGGGTGGGTGAAAGGCATTGTTTCTGGGTCCCTTGAACTGATAATTGTTCTGGGAATGTGGTGAGGTATACGCTATAATTTTCACCATCTGAGTAGGACTTTTCATTCTCATTCCCTGATTTATGGACTGTTTGGTGGCCAGCTACAGGAGGACTAGACCTACCGTGTTTCCCCGAAAATAAGACTGGGTCTTATATAAATTTTTGCTCCAACAATCTACATTTATTCATTTATTCATGTGCAAAAATCTACATTTATTCAAACAGTCATGTCTGGCTGACAGTCTTAACTGGGGTTTATGTTTGGGATAGGGCTTATATTATGAGCATCCCGAAAAATCGTGCTAGGGCTTATTTTCCAGTTAAGTCTTATTTTGGGGGAAACGTGGTTATTTGGTTAACTCTAAGCAGCTTGATTAGCTGCACTGGAGACAAGCATATAGAAGATTCCTGTTAGGGATGAGGGAGAGGAGGCAGGGGTCTGGACAGCTGCCTGCGGTGGGCCTAGTCTGGCCTGGCAGGCCTATTTTGGGTCTATACAGCTCTCTCTTTGTCTGTTTTTGTCCTGAGTCTCAGCTTCCTTCTGTGGAGAGTGTAGCAGTCTCTTCAGTGGAATCTGGGACAAGAGGTGGGGGAATACATCTAAAGCCTCTGGATTAGGCCCTAACCTTTTGCTATTGATCTTTTCCCTGCCTACCTCCCTTTGCCAAATAAATGTAGAAAACGAAGAGGACCCAGAAGAGGATTTGTCAGAAGCAGAGACTCCAAAGCTCAAGAAGAAGAAAAAGCCTAAGAAACCTCGGGACCCCAAAATCCCTAAGAGCAAGCGCCAAAAAAAGGAGGTAAGTGGGTGACTGGATGTTATGGGAAGTAAGATCTAGAAGAAGGGAGGCACTCTGAGAAGGATTAAAGGGGCTGGGGATGTCTGTTGCTTCCTCTGGAGTGGCAGGCCAGGTCCTGGGGGCGAGCCTCAGGGCTGTCCTGAGGTCAGCATGTGTGTAGCATGTGTGTGTCTGTCTCCCTCTCCCCCCCTTCCCTGCTCCAGCGTATGCTCTTATGCCGGCAGCTGGGGGACAGCTCTGGGGAGGGGCCAGAGTTTGTGGAGGAGGAGGAAGAGGTGGCTCTGCGCTCAGACAGTGAGGGCAGCGACTATACCCCTGGCAAAAAGAAGAAGAAGAAGCTTGGACCTAAGAAAGAAAAGAAGAGCAAATCCAAGCGGAAGGAGGAGGAGGAGGAGGATGACGATGATGATGATTCCAAGGTACCTGGACCTCCATCCTCTTCTCTCTACTGTTTCTTAACTTCTGCCCTTTGTTTCCCAGACACTCTGCTGCCCCTTAGAACATTTTCTCCCCACTTATTTTTAATGATTTCCTCTTAATTCTCCTCTGGTCTTGCAAGCCTTAGTTTCAAGTCAAATTCCTTTAGCAAGTGTGGGCACTAGGAGTTAGGTTTTTGACCTTGATCTCTCTGCAGGAGCCTAAGTCATCTGCTCAGCTCCTGGAAGACTGGGGCATGGAAGACATTGACCATGTGTTCTCAGAGGAGGATTATCGCACCCTCACCAACTATAAGGCCTTTAGCCAGTTTGTCCGGTAAACAGGAGGGTCTTGGTGGCAGGGGGAGGAGAGTGCTTCTATAACCTCCTCTTACTTCTCTTTTCCTCTCTTATTCTTAAATTTTTAATTTTTTTTCCTGTTCTCGCCCATTTCTTCACTAGACCCCTCATTGCTGCCAAAAACCCCAAGATTGCTGTCTCCAAGATGATGATGGTTTTGGGTGCGAAGTGGCGGGAGTTCAGCACTAACAATCCCTTCAAAGGCAGTTCTGGGGCTTCAGTGGCGGCGGCGGCAGCAGCAGCGGTGGCTGTGGTGGAGAGCATGGTGACAGCCACTGAGGTTGCACCACCTCCTCCCCCTGTGGAGGTGCCTATCCGCAAGGCCAAGACGAAGGAGGGCAAAGGTGAAGTGGGACTCAGTGGGAGCGGAGACCGGTGTGGGCTTAAGATGGCGAAGACAGAGAAAGCGTGGAAATGCTGTTCTGTCAGCCCAAGGAGAGAAGAGAGGAGGGAGGAATGAACCTTTGATTTAGGAGGGAAATTTGGGAAGCTAAACGTGGGAGCCAGCTTAGGTGGAGCAAATTTTATTCTTTTCCCCATCTTCTGCCCTGTGATATGTATTTGGATTGTATGACCTTACTTGCTTTCTCCTGATTTTAGGTCCCAATGCTCGGAGGAAGCCCAAGGGTAGCCCTCGTGTACCTGATGCCAAGAAGCCTAAACCCAAGAAAGTGGCTCCCCTGAAAATCAAGCTGGGAGGTTTCGGTTCTAAGCGTAAGAGATCTTCGGTAAGAGCCCAGCCCGTCCCTTTAGTAAGGATGCTGCATCTAGTAGAGTGGATGTTACCTTATGTCAGGACCTAGCCTTTACAGTAGGCGCATAGGATGTGGGGAGTTGGCTACAGAACAAGGTGACTAGGCTCCATGGATTAGGTTGGTGCAAACGTAATTGCGGTTTTTGGATTGTTGAAATTTGCCTTTGATATTGGAATACGTTCTTAAATAAATGTGGTTATGTTATACATCATTTTAATGCACATTTCTCACTTTATGTGTATTTGCTGATGACTCATTACTTGCTGTTTATTTTATATGTATTTTAGACTATGGAAATGATGTTAGACAAAAAGCAAATTCGAGCGATTTTCTTATTCGAGTTCAAAATGGGTCGTAAAGCAGTGGAGACAACTCACAACATCAACATTGCATTTGGCCCAGGAACTGCTAACGAACGTACAGTACAGTGGTGGTTCAAGAAGTTCTGCAAAGGAGACGAGAGCCTTGAAGATGAGGAGTGTAGTGGCCGGCCATCGGAAGTTGACAACGACCAATTGAGAGCAATCCTCGAAGCTGATCCTCTTACAACTACACAAGAAGTTGCCAAAGAACTCAGTGTCGACCATTCTGTGGTCGTTCGGCATATGAAGCAAATTGGAAATGTGAAAGAGCTCTATAAGTGGGTGCCTCATGAGCTGACTACAAATCAAAAAAATCGTCGTTTTGAAGTGTCATCTTCTCTTATTCTACGCAACAACAACGAACCATTTCTCGATCGGATTGTGACGTGCGATGAAAAGTGGATTTTATACAACCGGCGACGATCAGCTCAGTGGTTAGACCTAGAAGAAGCTCCAAAGCACTTTCCAAAGCCAAACGTGTACCAAAAAAAGGTCTTGGTCACTGTTTGGTGGTCTGCTGCCGGTCTGATCCACTATCGCTTTCTGAATCCTGGGGAAACCATTACATCTGAGAAGTATACTCAGCAAATCGATGAGATGCACCGAAAACTGCAACACCTGCAGCCGGCATTGGTCAACAGAAAGGGCCCAATTCTTCTCCACGACAACGCCCGATCGCACGTCACACAACCGACGCTTCAAAAGTTGAACGAATTGGGCTACGAAGTTTTGCCTCATCCACCGTATTCACCTGACCTCTCGCCAACCGACTACCACTTCTTCAAGCATCTCGACAATTTTTTGCAGGGAAAACACTTCCACAACCAGCAGGATGCAGAAAATGCTTTCCACGAGTTTGTCGAATCCCGAAGCGTGGATTTTTATGCTATAGGAATAAACAAACTTATTTGTCATTGGCAAAAATGTGTTGATTGTAATGGTTCCTATTTTGATTAATAAAGATGTGTTTGAGCCTAGTTATAATGACTTAAAATTCACTGTCTGAAACCGCAGTTACTTTTGCACCAACACAGCAGTCCTTGCTGAGATTCTAGTACCCTTAGAGAGGGATTCCTTCTCTATCCCTCTTTCTCTTTGGATTGAACCTCTGTTTTATGCCTTTTCATTCTTCCAGAGTGAGGATGATGACTTAGATGTGGAATCTGACTTCGATGATGCCAGCATCAATAGCTATTCTGTTTCTGATGGTTCTACCAGCCGTAGTAGCCGCAGTCGCAAGAAACTCCGAACCACTAAAAAGAAAAAGAAAGGTGCGTTTCTTTTCTGTATCTATGTGATTAAATGGGGTGGGAATGACTGGGGAAGAATCTCCCTAAGTAGATAGGGGGTGGGGGGAGGNGGGAGGGGGGAGGTAGTTTTTTTCTAATAACTGGGCTTTCCCTCTTCCTTGCCCAGGCGAGGAGGAGGTGACTGCTGTGGATGGTTATGAGACAGACCACCAGGACTATTGCGAGGTGTGCCAGCAAGGCGGTGAGATCATCCTGTGTGATACCTGTCCCCGAGCGTACCACATGGTCTGCCTGGATCCGGATATGGAGAAGGCTCCTGAGGGCAAGTGGAGCTGTCCACACTGCGTGAGTACCTGGCCACTGTGGCCCTTTGGGGACCCTCGAGAGGAAGGGCGGGATAATCAATCTCTTTTGGGCCTGTGTGGGAATAGAAGCGATGGTGTTGCTGGTGTGGGCTTTGGGAAGCATTCTAAGGAATGATGAGCATGGTTCAAGAGGGGGGTGGGTGGGGGGTGGTAATAATCTGACTCTGTGGTCTTTATTGCAGGAGAAGGAAGGCATCCAGTGGGAGGCTAAAGAGGACAATTCGGAGGGTGAGGAGATCCTGGAAGAGGTTGGGGGAGACCCTGAAGAGGAGGATGACCACCATATGGAATTTTGTCGGGTCTGCAAGGATGGTGGGGAGCTGCTCTGTTGTGACACCTGTCCTTCTTCGTACCACATCCACTGCCTAAACCCTCCACTTCCAGAGATCCCCAATGGCGAATGGCTCTGCCCCCGTTGTACGGTGAGTGACTGGTTCCAGCCAAGGTAGGGATGTGGGAAGGGTTTACCCCTTTCATATGTAGGCCTTGTGAGGCTGAGGTTCAGGAGAGGTTGTTGGAGAACTGGAGACTTTTTAGCCCTGAGTCAGGCATTTTCCTTCCTCATGTAGTCTTGGGGAACCTTTGTCCTGGGAAAACGTAGGACTAACTTTGAACAGATGAGTTGACGCTTCACCAGTTCTTTTAAGGGGTATGGAGCACTATTCTTCTAGCCCAGAACATCCATCTCTGTGTTGACATTCAACCTTGGGGTCTTGGTAGTTTAGAATGGTTTAAAAAGGCCACTTACTGCTTTTAGATTACTTAGGAGAGGAATTCTGGGCTTCAGGTATATGGATTTTCTATGTTTCCTTGTTCTGGGTTATTGTTGAAGTCTACTTTCTGGCTCTGTTAAGCAGGTAGGAGTAATCATGTCACACAAATCCTGGATGGAATCCAGAAATGGAGAGGGACTTCTGTTCTCTCTCTAGAAGGGTCCTGGGGTTAGATTTTACTTGAAATGAGATTTTAACAACCCTTGGGTAAGGTTGAGGCTGTGGGCTGTACCATCTCCTACCCATGGTAATGATTTGGTGTTGGATCGATTCTTTTTCTCACAGTGTCCAGCTCTCAAGGGCAAAGTCCAGAAGATCCTAATCTGGAAGTGGGGTCAGCCACCATCTCCTACACCAGTGCCTCGGCCTCCAGATGCTGATCCCAATACTCCCTCCCCCAAGCCTTTGGAGGGGCGGCCAGAGCGGCAGTTCTTTGTGAAATGGCAAGGCATGTCTTACTGGCACTGCTCCTGGGTGTCTGAACTGCAGGTAAACCTGGACAGATTATAGATATGGGGGCTACAACAAAGGGTAATGAGAACACAGTCTCGTGGATGCAAGGAGTGACTGAGAGCCGTTACTCCTTGGTGACTTATTTCTCTTTCTGCTTGCAGTTGGAGCTACACTGTCAAGTGATGTTCCGAAATTATCAGCGGAAGAATGATATGGATGAGCCACCTTCAGGGGACTTTGGTGGTGACGAAGAGAAGAGCCGAAAGAGAAAGAACAAGGACCCTAAATTTGCAGAGATGGAGGAACGCTTCTATCGCTATGGGATAAAACCTGAGTGGATGATGATCCACCGAATTCTCAACCACAGGTACCAGTGGAACTGGGCCACGGTGCGCTTGTCCTGGGCATACCGGGGGTTAGCAGTACATCCACTGGGAGTCTCCTGCCAAAGGGATTGTGAAAGTGAACGTCACCAGTAACTTACACTTGGAAGAGACACACTCAGTATGTTGTTATTAACTGACTGAATCCTGCTATTTGAGCCCTAAGAGACTAGATTAGAGGTCATTTTTGGTCAAAAGATGGTATAGTAGAGGCTCTGAAAACATGTGGTATCTGGCATACTTAGAGGTCTGGTTTGGAAAATACATTATTGGCAGTTTTTTAGAGCAAGGCTGACTTAGGCGGAGCGGAGGGTGGCTTCTGGCTCAGAGTTTTCTTTTTGGACCTTGCAGTGTGGACAAGAAGGGCCATGTCCACTACTTGATCAAGTGGAGGGACTTGCCCTATGATCAGGCATCCTGGGAGAGTGAGGATGTGGAGATTCAGGACTATGACCTTTTCAAGCAGAGCTATTGGAATCACAGGTGAGTGAGTTTGTTAAGGGTGGAATCATTTCTCATTGAGAAGGACTCTAGACAGCAGTGTGGTGTCTGTCTTCTTTAGGGAATTAATGAGGGGTGAGGAAGGACGACCAGGCAAGAAGCTCAAGAAGGTGAAGCTGAGGAAGCTGGAGAGGCCTCCTGAAACTCCAACAGTTGATGTGAGTTGGAGCAGAAGAGGGAGGACCCAGGTTGTTGGGTAGGACATTCGAATGATGATGCAAGTAATAACTTTATAGCTGAGAATGCCTCCTGAAGTCTGCTTGCCCACTTGTCCACGTCTCTGTAAATCAGAGGAAATACTAGGCTTACTTTCTCTCTTCATCATCAGAAAAATAAAAACACAGGAGATGGTATTTTATATGATTGAGACAGTGTTATCTAAGGAGGGAGGGTAATACAACGAAGCTTTTATGAAACTTATATTGGAATCTGGGTCTTCCGACCCTTAATTCATGGCTCAGTTCCTCTCAGGTGTGTGTGTTTGTGTGTGTGTGTGTGTGTGTGTGTGTGTGTGTGTGTGTGTGTATTAAGTAAAATGTGAGGATAGTTAAGGAACATACAATTTTTCACCTGGTGGACCCTGACTAGCAGAATTAATGTATTGCTAGGGAGGCTATGCTGTGTCTTTCCTCAGAGTTCTGTGAGACCAAGACCTCAGTCTTGATAGGTTAGTTGCCTTGTTTCCTGAAGGACCCTAAATCAAACATAAAATTAAAATAACCAACGAGGATCCTTCCCGCACATTTTTTTGTGGTGCTCTCAAAGAGGATCTGGTGAAGATGTGTGAGGAGGAGGTAGCTGCTGTCATATGAAAGGAAAGGAATTCCTTGCCAGCTCTTGATTTCTTTATTTCATTCTTAGCCAACAGTGAAGTATGAGCGACAGCCAGAGTATCTGGATGCCACAGGTGGAACTCTGCACCCCTATCAAATGGAGGGCTTGAATTGGTTGCGCTTCTCCTGGGCTCAGGGCACGGACACCATCTTGGCTGATGAGATGGGCCTTGGGAAGACTGTCCAGACAGCAGTCTTTCTGTATTCTCTCTACAAGGAGGTAGGAAAGCTGGGTCTGTTAATTTTTTTTTAGATTGGGGAATTGGGGGTGGGGAACAGTGTTGGAGAATTGGGGACGGGAATGAGCCAAGTTGTTTTTCTTCAATCTTAGTTGTGGAGGGCGCCATTGGCAGCTCGTGGCCTCTATGTTCAAGGTGCTGTGTTACAATCTTAGTTGTGGGTGGGCGTAACTACCATCCCATGCGGGAGTTGAACCAGCAGCCTTGTTGTTAAGAGTGCATGCTCTATCCACTGAACCATCCGGGTGGCAGCTCAGCTCAAGGTGCCGAATTCAGTCTTAGTTGCGAGCAGGCGTGGCCCACCATCGAACAGGCAGTCTTGTTGTTAGGAGCATGTTTTCTCACCAGCTGAGCCATCCTGCCACCTGTTGGCAGCTCAGCTTGGGCACAGTGTCACTGGCCTATGTGGGAATCAAACCGGCGGCCCTGTTGCTTAGAGCTCACGCTCTTAAGCTAACTCTTAATCAACTAAGCCACTCGGCCAGCCCAGGGTCTGTTAATTTTTTGTGGGTGTATTTTGTGTTCATGGTCTTCTCTTACACGCTGAGGAAAGAGAAAAAGGAAGAAAAAAATTGATCACTGACCTTGAATTGAAAGTAAGTTAGACACACATCCACAGAGAAAGATTTGAGGGAATGAAGCCATGGGTAGAATCAGTGGTGGGTGCATAGAGCCTCAGTACTGGGGGATGGATGTGTGTTGAGATCAGGAGAACTGTGGGTGGAATTAGTATGGAAAGATTTGACAGAATAAGGTTTTGTGCTCTCTGTAATGGCGGGCATGACTTTTTGGAAAAGAGTGGGTTGGGCATTTTTATACGTAGAGAAAAGTGAGGGTAGGAGCAGTGATGCACATGCTAGTCTTTGGCTAGCTCTTGGGGCAAGGGCTAGTGGGCGCTGGAGTTGTCCTGGGATGGGCCCTCACTCCTCCTCTGCTTCTCTTCTTCCTCAAAGGGTCATTCCAAAGGCCCCTTCCTAGTGAGTGCCCCTCTTTCTACCATCATCAACTGGGAGCGGGAGTTTGAAATGTGGGCTCCAGATATGTATGTGGTGACTTATGTGGGTGACAAAGACAGCCGGGCCATCATCCGGGAGAATGAGTTCTCCTTTGAAGACAACGCCATTCGTGGTGGCAAGAAGGCCTCTCGCATGAAGGTATCTCAGTGGGAGGGAGGGTCCTTGGGGTAAGCTGAAAGGATGACAGCTGGGAGGAGGGGAAACCTCCCAAAGTCCCTTGAGTTTGCTGACACTGGGGGAGTTGAACATTAGTGATCAGGTTGCCGTCTTGTGTGCAGAAAGAGGCATCTGTGAAGTTCCATGTGCTGCTGACATCCTATGAGTTGATCACCATTGACATGGCTATCTTGGGCTCTATTGACTGGGCCTGCCTCATCGTGGATGAAGCCCATCGGCTCAAGAACAATCAATCTAAGGTGAGGGGGAAGGAGGAAGGTTATGGCCTCCAGTGTTAGTTTTTAGTACCAGCTACTTATTAGAGGGACACCTAGGAGGCGAGGAAAGGGGAAAATGGTCTCTGCCTTTTTTCCTTGCTGATACCCCTTGGTGGCCAGGCCTTAAAAGAGAGATGGAGTTGGGGGCGGGGGACTTACTATTGGGCAGTGAAATAGCTCAGAATTCTGCAGGGATATACTGGAGCCCTCTTTTCATTGAAGTTTACCTCTCTCCATCTGCTTCACCAGTTCTTCCGGGTCTTAAATGGTTACTCACTCCAGCACAAACTATTACTGACTGGGACTCCATTACAAAACAATCTAGAAGAGCTGTTTCACCTGCTCAACTTTCTCACCCCTGAGAGGTTCCAGTAAGTGTGTGTTTATGCATAATCGGTTCATAATTCTTCTGGTCTTCCTGTTGCCCATTTCCTGTATCACTTTCCTGTCTTCCCTGCTCCCTCTCCAACAACTTTTTCCTTTCTCTTTCTGAAGCAATTTGGAAGGCTTCTTGGAGGAGTTTGCTGACATTGCCAAGGAAGACCAGATTAAAAAACTGCATGACATGCTGGGGCCTCACATGTTGCGGCGGCTCAAAGCTGATGTGTTCAAAAATATGCCATCCAAGACAGAGCTGATTGTGCGTGTGGAGCTGAGCCCTATGCAGAAGTGAGTCGGAAGGGACAGAATATTGACTTCATTTTGCAAATACTGTTAGATAATTGATAGTCTGCAAAGTATTTTTTATTCCTCCCCACACTACGCTTCAAGGCATCTGGTGATAGGAGCAAGCGAGGCCTAAAGACACCTGATGCCAGGGAGCTGAAGCCCTTGCTTCTTATGTAGTTATACCTTACCTTGTTTAAAAGGGTGCCTGTTGGGTTTCCTTAGTCCCAAAGTAAGGTACTCATTCACACGTTGGAAGAAAGATCTCAGATCTTGGGACTGCATTATGAGTCATGTGAAGACCCTTGAGAATGCCTTAGCTTTCTCTCTTGCCCATGCAGGAAATACTACAAGTATATCCTTACTCGAAATTTTGAAGCACTCAATGCTCGAGGTGGTGGCAACCAGGTCTCTCTGCTGAATGTGGTGATGGATCTTAAGAAGTGCTGCAACCACCCATATCTCTTCCCTGTAGCTGCAATGGTATGTGTGTCACCTCTTGTTTCTCCTCAGGTTAGAACTGCTCTGTTGGGCTTTCTTTCAGTGTTTTTTTTCTTCTTCGCTTCTTTCCTCAGGAAGCGCCTAAAATGCCTAATGGCATGTATGATGGCAGTGCCCTAATCAGAGCATCTGGGAAATTATTGCTGCTACAGAAGATGCTCAAGAACCTTAAGGAGGGTGGGCACCGTGTACTCATCTTCTCCCAGGTATTATGTGGACTGGGCTGGGAGCTTTGGTGGACAGCAGTAGACAACCCTCAGTGACATGAGGGAAGGGATTATCATCTGACTTGCCCATAATTAAACTGGCTCCTTTTTCAGATGACCAAGATGCTGGACCTGCTAGAGGATTTCTTGGAACATGAAGGTTATAAATATGAACGTATTGATGGTGGAATCACTGGGAACATGCGTCAGGAGGCCATTGACCGCTTCAATGGTATGAGGGAAGGACTGGCATCCATCCAGGCATCCTCATTCATCGTGTCTTTGGACCAATCACTTGTTCTTGTGCATCTGCTTTTCTGTGTCGTTCTTTTGGGTCTTTGTCAGTTGATACGGAAGAGTAAATCTTTTGAATGTCTTGGTTGGAAGAATGTATTGGACTATTTTTAGGAGATTTTTTTTTCCCCTTCGGAGTCTTCGTCCTC